CTAAGACCTCCCCAACAAGCCATGCATGCTATGCCAAGGCAGTTTCAATTCAAATCCAGTTGTCCCCTTCCAATCAGATTGCCAGTCATAGTCCCCTGGAGATGCTATAGAGTCCTGATGAGAAGTAGTGGGCAATAGGCTATATGCTCCCAAATTCAAAAAACAGGTAGAGTACTTTAGACATGATGCAATAGATCATAAGGAGCTATTGTACACTCCTCAGAAAGGAAATACTTGATATAGTGGTATATCAGAAAGACTGATTTCCTTGGAACTTAATTCATTCCAAACATGAGTTAAACTTTTCTAAGAAATAAGTCTAAATAATGAACTAATAACAATGAAGTGTTAATAATGAAAGAACTGAAGGTTTTAAAAAATTCCATTTTGGCATAATTAAGGGATAAGTCAGTTCAAATGAAAGGTGTCACTGTTATTAAAACTTCATTCATTTACTGAATTATGTTTCATGTGAACAGAGTGTATTTTTAAGATTATTTGATTATTATATAAGTCAATGTCATTTCCAGTTTTTGGAAAATTGATAGTAATTGTCATTGAAAATGTAACAGAGTTTATCAAATTAATTTCTCAAGGGCCACCTGATAGCCACCAGATGGCAACCTGAGCCAAAGGTAAATCAGAACTTGAAGTTATAGATAGCCCTGAGACTACGAGTTACCAGTCACTCATCTCTCGGGGTTCCTTTGAAACCACAAAACACAAAGACTTTCTACCACTTCTGTAAATTCCATTGGAACATAATGAAATATGCTCTCCCCACAATGCTTACAATAATTAAAGTTTTTTTTTCATAATAGAAGTCTATCTAGAAATAGCACAATATGGAATGATCATTAATAGATCTGTTAAGGTCCTTAAATAAATGCCTATCGAGAGCACAGGCACGCATTAGTAAATTTCCTAAGGAAAATCCATTTTCATTTCACATTCTGACATTTTATTTAGAAAAATTATACCTTTTCTTTTAATTATTTCAGTAAACATAATGAGGTTATTGCTAACTATACCTCAGAGTACTTTATTTTCTCCAATTTTTTAGTAATATGAGTCTACTTGTAATTAAAGGCATGCTGCATTAATGATGCTGAACGTCTCCAAGGGAAACATTTAATGTCCACCTCATAATATTATGCCAAAATTACATGCACAGAAGACTTTTTAATAATCTTTGTTTCCTAATTTAGTTTTGATTGGCTCTGAAATCCATAGCAGCACTCAAGGGCTTCCATTTCTACAGTCATCAGCACTTCTGCACCATAAATTGTACAAACGCACATGAGTTCTTCCGTCTGTAGGCTCCTTTTCAAAGCATCTGTTTAACTTATCCAGAAAATTAGCTGCAGGCTAGAGATAATTGCAGATAATTTTGCCATTTTTAAGCCACTGGGGTGTACGCAAGATATGACAGCTAACTTTGTCTAAACACAAAGAAAAAGTCATAGCTTTGTGTTGTCACTTCAGCTTTACACACAGGTTCAGATCATCCTCTCTGCTCTTTATGCAAATTGAAACAAATTGTAGTCACTAAATGATCTGTGTTTCCTGACAAAGCTCTGCCACCTGAAGCTTTCAATGTGGCTGAAAAGATAGGATCTATTCAAATGTGTTCTCCCAGCCTAAAAAAGAGGGTTAACCCCCGCCTTCCCTTCAGATTCTTCCCCATTGATGAAAACAGAGATTGTCTTTAGCCATCATCAACTCAAAAGGAATACATCAACTTAAAAAGAAAATGTATGTTTTTAAATATACACAATTTGTGTATATATATGTATATGTATATGTGTATATACATACACACACACACATATATATATACATACACACATTTATCTTCCTTATCCACTATGATTAATAGAAATGGCAGTGCTCTCCTGAAAAACTAATGTTTATAAATACTGGTACAATTAATACAGAACAATTTTAAAGTACTTCACATTGAAGATTTATTAACTATGCCATCCAGGTTAATAAGCAGAGATCTATTGTTAAATGGAATCCATATGCTCCTTTTTTTCCCGACATTTTACTCTATATTAAAATAAATGCAACATTAATGGATAGTCACTGGCATATAATGATGAAGTCAATGAAAAAAGCAGCAACACGGACTCTTAATGCAATGCCAATGAACTTCAACTTTATATTAAAAAAATCGGCCTGAGGAATTATAGGTATTTCTCTCAGCACATGTTCCCTTGGTGCTCAGAACAGCTATAGCCACAGCTAATAGGAGTGTCACTAGCTGAACAAGTGATTACTGGAACAATTTTGCAGCAAACCTTTACATATAGGGGCTAACCAGTGGCTGTATTCATGTGGCAGCTCCCCTGATATAATAGGCCATAACGACTCTGAGGGAGCAGGTATGGATGCAAGTGTCAAGGAGGGGAGAACACATAAGTCATAACACAAATGACTTTATGGATCCCCATTACACCCTGGGCTACGGAGTACCTAAACAGGTTTGATAGGACAGCATCCTGAGACAGTTTCCCAACCTTGTGTCAGGAATCCTCACACTAAAGAGTTTTATGGAACATCCAAAACTGCAGAGAGGAAGAGTTGCTATATTAGGCCATTACCATTGACGTGGTATATAATATGCATACAAATAGTCCCAAGGTGTATATTTAAAGGATAGATTATTAAATTTGTTATGCCAATCATATGCATATTAAGGAATACAAATTAAGCATTGATAGGCAACATTTCACAAATCTTACATTCTCCCTTGGAAAACCATTCTGTCCAATGACAAGTTTACATCCCCCAGGGCTTCGAAATATCTGCGTCACTCTAAGATGCAGCGTTTTAAAGACTGTCCTGCAGAGTCTCATGTGATCATACAAAGTATACACGTTACTGCACTTGAGAAAGCTGAGGGATATTTTAATTCTTTTTTCCCATTTGGTCTCTAACATCACTTAGCCAGTGGACTGAGAGGAATTGACTCGTTTAAATACCTTAGACCATGTCCCTTTGAAAGGCAGACATGGGAAGATCTGTAACATGCCCTTTGCACTCATGATGGGAGAAAGAGGCAAGCTGAAGACACCAAGTAAACCCTTCAACATGACAGATAGGAGGAGTGCTGAACAAGCATGCTCTGGCCAGAGACTGAGATCAGGGAAGCTGCACCCACAGATCACACCTTGAAAACATCACACAGGGCCTGTAAGAGGGAAAACAGCACCCTGGGAAAGGAAATTTGCTATTTTACTTAGATCTGGAAATTATTAAACAATTCCAGAAGGGACATGTTGTTACAAGTGTCATGTAAACCAATATATAGAGCTAGAATGTTCTCAGTAACATGCAGACTTGGCCCGGAACTCATCCCCTGCTATAAGGAGTAGAAGACTACACAACCTATCACCCAAACAGCAATTTCAATCCACATCAATAATGAGCTCTTATAGTTGACCTTTTATGAGAAATTATTAAAGACCTCACAAAAAGCCTCCACAAATGTCTCTGCTCCTTTACAGATTTATTATGATTTTGCTAATGTGTTTGAATAAACTCCTTCTCTGGAAGTCTCTGCTTTCCAAAATGCAACTTCTTTGCACAGCACATACCTGTTCCCAGAGAGATGGGTCCTCTCTTTGAAATATTTAGTCTTTCAGGGCACTTTAGTCACAGTGACACCTAATAGCCAAGTGCTTTTTCTCACTCTCCACAAAATCAGGTTTGGACTATAATTCAAACCAGTCCCCAAAGGCACTTCTGAAAAATGGCAAGCCCTTAGCTTTAAGGTGAAAACACTCTTTATTGCTCAAAATTGTTTCCTGTTACAAAACCTTTTTTATGCTGCTAGGTCTAAGATGATCTTATGCTAATTTAACTCACTGGGGACTGTGAACAGATGCTACTTTGATTAATAGTATCACTACCCTGAAAATGCCAGGCCAGGCTCAAGATAATACAGTCAGGTAAGATTACTATTAAAATCTGCCATACAATTATATCTGTTATGTGGAGAAAAATGGGATCACCGTTCTTGTGTGAAATAAAAACCACCTATAACAAAAAGAAAAAAAAAAACATAAACCAAATAAACTCACCATCTTAACTCTTTAGCACATTAATGTATACCATTTTAATCACCAGCCTCTTTACTAATACTTATAGAAATATTGTCAGCTATGTCTTTCATAAAAATTCAATGTGTTACCCTAATATTACCTTTTCACATGGTATTTAACTTTCTATGCAGGAAAAAAAAGACTTATATAAGCCATGAGAAAAATGAATTCTGTAACTTTGCTTATCAAAAAAAAAGTATCTGAATTTATACATGCTGAGCCCTTGCTTTTCAGCAAGTAAGTTTTCTATGTTCCAAAAGTCATCTTTAAAATATACATAGAAAACTATAACCTTGACAATAAGGGGAGTTGGCAAATAAGATTTTTCTGGAAAAACCTCTCACAAGGCTTTAGTCCCTCTCTCCTCTATTTTTTTTCTTGCTGATCTCCTAACCAAGGACTCCCAAATCATAGCCGCCTCCTGATGAAGATAATTATGAGATCTAGTCTCTCCTTGAACTACAGAATTTGGGACTGGCTTTATACACATATGTGAAGAAACATTTGTGTTTTTAAAGTTGGTTTGCCAATGCATTTTATCCTTAACATGACAGATATGACCTAATCATATTTCTAACCTCCAATCTAAAATTTAACCTTCAACTGGACTTTTTCTTTTATAATATATGCAATAGTATATCTGCCTCAGTGAAACTATTGGTTTTCAGGGAAGCAGAAAGTAAGTTCCTTCCAGGGCATCAATCACAGTGTGCAAATTGTAATTCCAGGCAGGGTAAGCCTCCACTGAGAAAGAAACTAGCCTTTTAACACAAATCTGCCACCTGCAGATTCAACTTATTGCATGAATTGTCTTCACACTCACCACATCTGTATGTATATGCAATTAGACTCTATTTATATGAAATATTTGATGTAAAAGGGTTACCTCACCATTGCACAGAATGTCTCAGGAGGGTCTCCACAGGTAATATCCGGAGGATCGAGTTTCACTTTCAGATATTTTGTCATGTCCGTGGATTCCGGCTGGCAGGCCATGTAATCCCAAACTTTCCCTTCTTCTGTGTAAATCTGAGTCTTACACAGATCATAATGTCCCCAAACCAAAGGGTAGGGCTGCATCACTGAGGACACTGTAACCCAAAGGGCATGAATCGACAGGAATCTTGACAAATACATCTCTAAATTCTTTGTAATCTTCTTGGAAACTAAAGCAGAGCTTGCTTTATGATCTGCGATCTTTGTCTAGTTTACATATATGTACATATATGTATGTATGTATATGGGTAGGTAGGTCTGTGTATTCTTTTAAAAAATGAGGATGGGACCTCAAAGCAGATCCCAAAACCGAAAATGAAGAGTTAAGATACTGTGCGTATTCAGGTATATTGAGGACTTTGGTGGAAGCCTAACATACTTGTGTGTTAGGCGTTAACAACTTGTAGCTTTTTCTTTGTCCTAGAACATATCTATTAGACTCAGGTCTAGTTTGGTTTTTGTAAAATATGTCCAACTGCAGATAATAATTTAGCAAAGTGATGGCTCTCCCGTTGTACATCCGATAACCCTGAGTGATCCTCAATGTTCACAGCTCACAAGGGACGCTCAGGCAGGCTGAGATATCAGTATCTGAAGCAAAAGGATGAGTGTCCATAGCCCGGTGTCTGTTTCCCATCAATCATTCTTTTCTTCTGGCACCAACACCCTTTTAGAAACAATAAGAGTAAGAGTTATTGTCCCAGAATCAATGTATTACGAAACGTACAATATGTTGACATTTTGGAGGTCTGATGCAATATAAAGCAAATTGGTGTAATACAGATAACCTTTACTCAGCTGTTTTGCTAGAATGAGCAAACCATGGAAATCATTCACATTGGGGAGAATTTCGATATGAAGGATTTAACTCTTCCATAACAAAGACAGACACGTGTGTGTGAGTTACAGGTTTTCACTTCAAAAATTACATTTCCATCTTGACAAAACTGAGAGCAAGCAGCTAGATTTGAACATTTCTCATACACTGCAGTGCTAGAAAATCTTCCAAGAGAACAATGGGGTAAATGAGCGCTTTTATAATGATGACAAAGATACGACAACAACTTATATCCCTTTTGTCTCTTGACAAAGAGACCCTAAAAATCTCCAAATTCCTTGTACATTTCTTAGCTTTTGTTTGCTGGAGTGAAAATCAGCATTGGTAGCATAAGCCTGTCCCTGTGGATTTGCTCATTATATTTGAAGAATTTAGCATATTTTGTTTAGTTGCATTTAGTAATAAAGATAACTTGGCTCTCTAAAAAAACATTCAAAAATAAAACCAAAGGAGCAAAATTTCCTTTCATAAGAATTTTCTATATTTTTACATCTTTTTATAGCCATTACATGTGCATTTGCTGTTACTTTTTGCAACAGAAGAGAATTTGTCCCAAAGGCAAATATTGTAAGCTGCTTTAAAACTAAAAGCTCTGTAGTAAAATGCACAATTTAAAATGCACATATAAAAATAGCCGAGGGTGAGTTAACAGGCCATGAAGCAGAATAATATGGCACTAATTCTAAGAGAAAATAAAAATTACTGTGTAAAAGCACTTTTGGTTAACTGATAATGCACCCTACATAACTAGGGCTACAAGTCATTGGTGAGTTTAAGTGGCCACTTTTCTATTTAGAGATCACTATCAAAATCTAAACAAATGCTAACATTTGGAAACCAGGTATTAAAAAATATATTTTCTTAATTAGATTATTTATATTTATAGTCTAAAAGTTAACTGATTTTAAGCAATGCAAAAAGGACAAAAAAAGTCTACAATTTTAGAAAATTCTCTTATAGACCCTTCAATTCACATTAAACGGTTGAAATATGGAAGTTCACTATCTTCAAACAATCTTATAAAGGGAATTCATTATATTTAAATAATGTACCATCTTAAAATGAACTAAGCCACAGAGACTATGAAATGCCAACAGATGGTTGAATTGTGTTTCCATAGCAAAGTAATTTATAATAATTGCTTTATGGATGCAAGTGCAATTTTCATTATATTCAATTCATAAAATGTTATCATACAGCTGCAATTTGTGATATTTGCTATTAGAAAAAGTGTTGAATATTTGAGTTCCTATGAAGCAATAATTAGTAGTTTGTCTAAACATGTATAAACTACAGATTTGAATCGGCCTCTTCCTTGTAACCTAGAGACTATACTGTGTAAAGCACATTTTGAAATCTTAAGCTAAAAAGAAAAAAAATCAGAGAAGCATGTGTTGTGGCTACTACAGCCTTCTGCTTTTTTTCAGATTCATTAGTAATTTTAAGTTGATATTTTCAGACACATCCAACAATTTGACAATTAATAATCTGAGAAGGTGTTAAAGTGATGCAAATTTAAATTTTTGAGATGACTTTTTCAACTGTGTTTACTAGTTTTTATAAGAGGAAACAAATACTTTCCAAGGGGCGGGGGGATGTAGGTATTATAACTGAAGCAGTATAAAATCTACTAGGTCAGAAATTATTAACTTTAATTCTTAGTTTCAAATACACAATAATTTATTTATCAAGAATGATATAATCTTGAAGACCTGGAATTGACTGTTTTGAGTTTGAATGGAGTGAGCATTGTGTGTTTATTTTTAATATTAGTTTGAAAATACCACTTTAAATATATTTGAGTGCTTCCTGGAGATTAGTCTTCACTTTCTTTTTTAACCAACAAATGATATTCTCCTCATCCATTTATTCTCGGTTACTCTGTCCTCAACCACATTTTGCATTACTGCAACCACAAAATAAAGGGTGACCATACATTTGAACACTAAGGAAATGTACATGAACCCTTTGCTATCTCCTGACAGAACAGCAATCCCAATATAACGAATTCTCATTAAAGTATACCAGAATTATAATGATGGTCATTACACAGAATTATGGACTACACCATTGATCGAATTTAGAGAACTGACAAGGAAAAATGCAGAGGAGTGCAAGATATTTGAATATTAGGCAGTTGCAGGACTGTGCAACAGACATTCTTGACAAGAAGCAGCCAATTATAGCTTAAATTTCTGGCACATAACCAGTTGTGATTAATAGTTTTCCATTACATTACAGACATATTATTAATGTATTAAAAATGTCAAGCTTTGGCAAGCACTAATATGGCATGGCTCGGTTAGTCTGTAGAGTTTACATTTAATGAGCTCCCATTGACACAGAAAAAGATATTGACCACGGCATATTACAGATCAGGAGCAGAGGGACACTAAGCTGTTATTTAACATAATTATTTGATTTCATTCTAATTTTTATATTTGTACTATCATTATGTATCCTGCATTTCAGGGTTTTCTTACTTTTCAGTGTCACATACACTTCAAAAGAAATCCTCTTAACTTCAAATTAGTAAGAAATTAAATCTATGAACTTCCATGACACACAATGGAAAAGCAGCCTCTGAAAATCAGGAATTTGTTATTAAAGTATAATTACAGATTTTTCAAAGAAACTGCAATGATGTAAAAATAGAATATTATTTACACCTTAACCTCCACTATTTAATGGCACTTGTCTATCTGCTGTGCTTTCAAACAGGTTAAAATTATCAATAGCTTCTAAAAGCTAGGTCATCACAGCAAATAGCTAGGGAAACCAATTATGAGAAGGACAATGAATAACGTATTTGGGGACTTAACATACTAAACCTGTCCCTTCTGGCCCATAACTGAACTAATTGTGAAGTGACGTGGCCTTTGAATTTGTCTCAGGTGTCCATATCACCTAAATAAGAACAGATTCGGAAGAGCTCTGGGCAGCTCCAGTTCTACCTCTTCACTTTGCAAACCTTGGGAGCTCACTGTAATCAAATCATGCTATCACCTCTACTTGGGAACTAAAGTACTGAGAAGTCCTCTTTGATAAAAAATACCCATTAATAGGTTGTGAGTACCCCATAGACCTCCGGTCTATAAATTTGCAGAACCAATGAAAAAAGATAAAATTATGTCATGGCCCTCAATTTGATAGATATTATTGATCACGACTAAAATGGGCTATAAAATGCCTTTGCACAGATAGAACATGTATTTGTCCAGGATTCTGCAGCTAATTCCCTTCCACCTTGGATTAATTTTGCAGAAGCCATTTTCGCAGGCCCTTTCTCTCATCAGAAAAAAAGCCTCCCACAATATTACATGGAATTAATAGTGATTAATATTTTATGCAATTATATTCCAAAGCAATTGCCAATTTCATCAACTGAGAGGAAGATATTATCAGTAAATCTCCTAATCTAGCTGGTTTTCAGCATTCATTTTATTATATAACCTCACTAGCAGGTGGGAATGGTGATAGTAGGCTATTTCTTTCATAAATATTCAGCTTTTCAAGGGTACTTGAAATACATAACTATTGACTCATTCCTCATAGACATTAAGAATTTTATAAATATGCATTTTCTGAATGGGAAGAAACAAAAGGAAAATTGACTATATAGATCATTGAGTGAAAATATAAAAAGATAAAGATATACAAAATTATAACCTATCAAAATTAGCAGCTTCCAGCAGTCATAATGAAATTTATTACACAAGATATTTTAACATGTATTCAATGCTCTTTGCACTTATTTGTTCTGAAGAAAGCATTTTCTAGTCATCTTAATGGAAAACATATGCTTCTATCCTTTTGTTAACTGTCTCTCAAAATATAAGGAATTTAACATGTACTGCAACATCATTGGCATACCTTACTCACACTTGATTGGGTATTATGAGTAACTGTCTATCATGAGATTCTTAATAAACCTAAATAACACACCTTGGTATTTGAAAGATCTCTATTTTCATTGAGAGAAGACTGATTCGAGAAATTAGATAGTACATGTTTTGCAGGATGATTGAGGATGGGATAATACCCAAAACTACTTCAGAATCAGTTAAGCCTAGAAGAAATCTGGAGTTTAATTACCACATGAAAAACAAATATTTAATTCTAATGCAGGGAAGTTCAGAGATCTAAGGTCTCAAATGCATATATGAGAAAATCTACACCCACCTGAAGTTTTGAAACAGAACTTTGGATTCTGCAAATAAAAATTTTTTTTTAAGTATGCTAAATCTCATACTAACCTAAGACTTTACTAATATAATCTCTTATGCAATATAATTCACACACATATATTTCAATGTTAACATATAATTGGTTTTCAAAGTTGAATCCAATTTTCTTTTTTCCAAGTGACTTGATGCCTTTGTAACTAAAACTCTCCAAATTTTTATGACACTTAGAAAACCTATCAAATAAATGTGTAATGATTTAACTTTTTAAACAAATTACCTGATATGTTTCAGAATAATAATGGAAGCAAAGACAGGTATTTGCACCACTTGCAAATATACAAAAGGAAACTGCAAAATACATTTGCCTCCTCCTAAAAAGGCTAACCTGAATCATTTTAACACATACACCCAGTGAAAGCTGACAAAACAAAAATACTAATAGGAAACCAGCTTCATGTTCAAATAAACTGTTTCCATACAAAAGTTTTAAGATTATCCCTCTTAATTTCCACAATAGGAAATATCGCCAAATTAATATTTCAGTACATAGAATCCTGAATGCCTTCATGGTGGTCTTCAGTGGTGAAATGTATCTCATTTCATGGCAATCCAGAAAAGAAAATATATCCCTGGAACAACATTACATGTGAAATACTAGATGCACATTTTCCTTGCATGTTGATCCACATGCAGAGATCCAAATTCTATCTTAATGAAAAACTGAAAGTTGCTTATCTTCAAAAAGAATCTTGGAGAGTTACTGAGCTGCTTTTCCTTTGCCAAAGAGAAAGGGAGGCGGGTAAGGCATTCAAAGTGACACAGTCCAAAATACTTAATGAAATGTGGAATTGCTAATTCCCTCACTAGAGATCCTCCTCAAGGTACAAACAAAACAGAAAAGCCTCGCCTGAAAAAAAAATTTTTTTGTAAAACTTTCCAACAAGCTTAACTATTAAGCGTATCTGAATAAATGACTTTAATGGAAGATCTTTCTGGGTTTTTTTTCTTTTCACTTCTGTAAGATAAAACAACTTTTAGTATTTTCAGTCATAAAACAGGGCCTTATTTCTAGAGCAAATCTACTGCCAGATTCACCATATGTTTAGTGGAGTTCTGAATCTTACTCAGAATTTTCCATTCCAAAGATTGACAATTTCTTATGAGGAGTGGCTCCATTATTCCCTGTATAAAAAGAAGAGGGGAGAGAGGAGGACCCTCTACTCACTGGAAATCTGTACCTGATGCAACTATAGGAGCTCAACCTGCGACTTTTCCAAGTAAAGTTGCTTTAAAATCCCCGCTAGGAATTTTCTTCCCTTGCCCTGTAAGATGACAGCCTACTCTTAAGTGGATTCCTGAAGGAAAAAAAAAAAAAAGTCCCCGGGTGAGGGTACTAAAATTAACAGCAGAGGGCGCAGTTTCTTTTTATATCTAAGTTTTTCCTTGTATGAATCACTTAATTGGTTATTTTAGGCCCAATAATATTCGGTATTATTTGTATTATATATAGATATCCACAGATCCATACAGGAGAGCAATTCAATGTCCCTAGCCGAATCCATCAACCGATTAATATGATGCCCGTAAAGAATATGAGAGAATATTCCAAACAGCATCCCTACACCAAGTCTCCCTCTTTCAATTTCCCTTTCTCCCCAGCTGCACAACATGGGATAGTAATGCTTTAATCTCGCACCAATAAAGGAGATTGAAAGAAGGGACTTCAAAAGCCCTCGGTGTGGCCACCAGATCCCCAAGGCCGGCAATAGGGCAGTGTTTTTTTGTTTGTTTGTTTGTTTTTGTTTTTTTTTTCTTTTTGTTTTGCTTTTCCCCAAACAAATATAATTGGCGAAAGAAAGAAAAAATAACGACAATCCTCCTGAGCGATGTGTGTGGCCAGGTGTGCGTGAGAGAGAGCGAGCGCCGGGCGCCTGTCAGTCCGCGGAAGGAGGCTCAGACCCCGCGCCTGGGCTCGGGACATAACAGGCGGACGCATCACCCGCCCGGGGCGCACCCCGGGGAAGACTTGTGTGTGGGTGTGAGCGTGTGCCAGTGTGTGTGCGCGCAGGGCTCCGCGCGCTGCCTCCTCGGGGCGCTTTACAAAGTTCCTCGCCCACCCGGAGCCTTCCCTCCCGCCTGTGGATCGCAGCGGGTGGGGGGGGGGGGCGGAGGGGGATGGGGAAACCCGGGGGAGAGGGGCATGGGCGAGAGGCGCGGGTCGCAGTAGGAGAGGCGAGCTGCGGGCACTTACCGTGTGGCTCGTTTGCCCTTGCGCCGGGCGGGAGCCGAGCCGACGGCGCGGGGCGGCGGCCCTGCCCTGCCCAGCCAGCCTGGTCCGCCTCGGGCGGCGGCCGCAGCAGCGGAGCCCGCGGGCGGCGCACGGGCGGGCGGCGGCAGCTCCCGCGGAGCCTCCTCCCGGGGAGGGAGCGGGCGGAGCGGGAGGGGTGGGCGTAAGGACCCGAGCCGCCGCCACCGCCGCAGCCCGGGGATCCCGATCGCGCCCGGCCGCCGGCGGGAGAGGACCCCGAGAACCGAGAACCCAGCGCCGGCCCGCCACTCCCCGCCGCTTAATTACCTTCGCCTCCACCCCCGGGGGGAGCCTCCTGCACGTCGCCCCCTCTTGGAGCCGGCACCCAGAGGGGGAATTCCTTCCCGTTGACGTCCTCTTCCGAAATGCAAAAGATCAGTGACTTTGACAGGTAGATGAGGGGGAGGGAGTAAGGGTGGGCGGAGAGGAAGAGAGGATGAGAAAGGTGCCTCTCCCTCCAAAAATATAGTGATATTAATAATGAGATTGCAGCCTTCGGAGGTCGTGCCAGCCCAGTCCGCTGCTCGCCGGCTCTCCTCCGCGCCTCCTCGCGCCGCTGCTTCTGACACTTCTCGCCTTAAACTTTTACTGAGGGATATTTTTTCTTTTTTCTATTTCTATTTCTTTTTTTTTCTTTCTTTCTTTTTTTTTTTTTTTTTTTTCCAAGCCGCAGGACGATTTTCTGGTTCCCGGGGATCAGAACCAGCGGCCAGGCGGTTCTATGCCGCTTGGCACCGCTTTCATTTTATTTCAGATGAAGACGTTGAGCTTAGTCAGAAGGGGCATAAATCAGGACAATTAGCATTGGCGCCAAGAAGATCCTCTAGTACCAATTTCGCCCGGGCTTCCTTCGCGCATTCCTCCACTCAAGTCAGAAATGTCACTGCACATAGCGCTGATGGCTGCGAGACGCGACGCACCCAAAGTCCGTTTGATGAAATATACATGGCCCACGACGCTTCTGGATTGCGGCTCCCGGGCTCCCCGCCCCCGCCCGCGGCGCCCGGCCGGGACCCTGCTCCGAGCGGGCAGCGAGCTCCCGGCAAACTTAGGGGCCAGTGCCAATTAAAGAGTGAGCGCTAGAGCCGGAAAGGGGAGCGGCAAAGAAGCAAGCCCGGGGAAGCCGCAGCCCTTGGAGGGGTGGCATGTACGTTTCACTTAAAAAGCAGATCTTCTTCTGCAACTGCCAGCAAGTGGAAGGATAGCAAACCTTATACTACCTCGAGACCTGTGCGCTCCGAGCGGTCCTAACTCCGTCCCGCTCGCTGTTGCTGTTGTTGCTGCTGCTCCGGCCGCCCCTGCTGCCGCTCCACGACCTCTGGGCGCTGAGGCAACAGGGCCCCCCTCCCCCTGCTTCCCATCCCCCCGGCTCCTCCACTGAAGCGCCGTTACCAGTAACTCCTCGTGTACCTCCTACTTCTGCTGCCGTCCATCCCAACCCTCTCTCTTCTGTCCCCTCCCCAAACCGTTCCCAAACACACCCTTCGCCGCTAGAAGTGATCACAATGGTGTTTTTCAACCAGCACTTCCTTTGCCCAGAGGCCCCTTCAGCCCTAGACTGGAGCCTCCTCCTTTAGAAATTCATTCCCCTTTAGAAAGTTGAAGTTCAAGGGAGAGCTGTGCATTTCAGGCTTCCTTGCCTTTTCTCAGAGAAAGACAAATGCTCCGATGCTCTAGGCTTCATTCCCCACCAAGGTGGGCTCAGACTCACCTGGGATCACTCTTAGCTACACATTAACGTCAAACAGAAACGAATCCGAACTTAGATAAGATAGGGAGACTTTCATTAGAAAGACTGACTATTGCAACAGGGAAAACGCTCTGATCTCAGAAATCTGCAAGCCTCTCAAAACCAAACAGAAATCGGCTTTTTTTTTCCCCACTTGTATATATAAAGGGAGCAAGCAACAGGGAAAGCCAAGTAGATGGGAGAAAAACTCGCTTCAAGACCCTCATGGTTGAACAAGAAATGTGTCTCTGTGGTCCAAGAATTTGGAAGATAAGCTAACAACGGTGAATGTTTCACATTTTAGTTCTTGCTCAGATTTGGGGGGCAAGCTAAAGTCCAGGGACCTGCTGGAGAGAAGCCTGACTCATGTTTGGTCAAGGCAAAGCTGGGGCGGGAAGAAATGGGCAATTGGGAACACTTAGTCACTGTGTGTCCCACAATTAAGGTAGGAGGCTGAGTAATTGGGTCATTTTTCTGTGATGACTGGGTGTGGTGTGGTAAAAGGATGCATGGGGGAAAAGTTTATTGAGTTGGGCCTATAACCAGGCCCTCCTTGGCCCTGGGCAGCCAGAAAGTGGGCAGGGATTTCAGGCACCCCTGGCCTTCCCTTTAACACCTAAGAGGCCACAGTGAGTCCGCCCTCTGAATCTCTGAGTGCAGGAATCTGGGGTTTATGTGCTTTCCTCTTTCCCACCTTTGTCCTGTAGTGCTGACATTGCAAAAAGGAGTTACCTGTAGGTCTGAAACTCCTAGCAGGGGTTCTTAGACAGTGGTCAAGTCTGGCTCTTCCCCGTGTCTCCGGCCATGCTCTCCAGGTTTAAAATACACTGACTATACGGAGATGTTACTCACCACCTAATCCTCCTTCACAGGCCCTTACAGCCCAGTTCTTTCTATGGGAGCCTTTGGCAATAGGATATAAGAAACAATACCAAGAGTGGCCTTCTTATTTCTCGTTGGCCCCTTGGCCTGGATCCTGAAATACAGACAGTTCTCAGCCTTTCCCCTCTCTCTTGCCCTTTTCTCTGAAGGCAAGAAAGCCTTTCTGAACTCTCATCCTCCACTTTACCTGGTCATTTAAGGCCATTCTGTAGTAAAAAGAAAAGAAATCTATGCAGAGATTAGGACATTCTCTTCTGGAATACACTAAGATCTTTGTGATTTTGGCTCCCAACCTGGAAAAATACTTGTTTTCATCTGTCAAAATATTGGAACTAACCTCCCTTCCTCTCTTCCTGTATCATCCATCATTCCCAGGATTCCTTTGACTCTGAGGCCGACAGCAATCCCAAATAAGTGTGATATGTAAATGAGAACCTTTCCAATTAGGTAACACCTCCCACTACAGGAGTGGGAGAGTCTTTCAGAGGTGAGTTTTTCTGTGGAACATGTGCTCTGACCTTTGCAGAAGCTCAGTGAATCACCAACTAAACATGTGGATCTAAACTCAAGGAAGTAAATCAGAATCATCAGAGACTTTTCAACATTAAAACCTCCTCCCTTCCAGATCTTGTTCTCTCCTCCAGCAGCAATCAGGTGAGAAGGACATTTTTTCCAAAAAAGCACTTTAAGTAGATCTGATATACTTCCCCAAACTGACATGTGTATATTAAACCAGTTTTCCTCAATATACCTTTGCATATTTGTTTATATAATATACACTGATCAGAAATTGACTTTAGAGATTTCATTGGCACCAACGGAAATTATTTAAGGCATACCGACTTTTCCTTATCATTCTTTGCTTTCTCTTGCCATATATATATTTAACTTTCTTTGGAAAAACTATTTTTCTGTTTTTATTTAACCTTTCAACTCTACTTTTTTTTTTTTTCTTTTTCCTTTTGGAGAAGAATGGTTTGGTCTTTCAGTTCCCTGGCTTTAGATCTTTGGCTGGTTTCTACACATTCCTCATTCTTCTTCAACTTAGATATCCATTTATTTGTAATCTTGTTAGGTCTCTAATTGTTGCTCATTTTTCTAGGTTCTTAGCTGCCTAAAAATCTTCTCTTTAGAGATTTGGCAGGGTTGTTTCAATACCTGTAACTTCATTATGCCAAAGTGGTAGTGATGGCATATTTGCAATATATCTGGTCCAAAAAGACATGTGTCCTTTTTTATAAATACTCTAAAATGCTTGACATAATGTAGGTATAAGATAAATGTCCAGTGCGGGTGTGAATAGCTTTAGCTTATTCTCACGATTCATGGCCTCCTTGGTAACAGGAGTTAACTCTTACTATATTAAATTAATATGTAGATGTCTAAAATATCCAAATCATGGGCACGTTAGACACTCTGGGGTGCTGTAACAAAGACCATAGATTGAGTGGTTTTAAAACAATAGAAATTTATTTCTCACAGCTCTAGAGACTGGAAATCTGAGATCAGAGAGCCAACATGGTCAGGTTCTGATAAGAGCCCCCTACTGGGTTGCAGACAATAGACTAACTCCTTGTATTCTCACATGGTAGAAGGAGGGCTAAGGAGCTCTCTGGGGTCCCTTTTATCAGGGCACTAATCCTACTCATGAGGGCTGCATCTTCTTCATGACTTAGTTATCTCTCAATGACCCTACCCCCTAAAACCATCACATCAGGAGTTAGGATTTCAACTTATGAATTTGGTAGGTATGGAACAAAACATTTATTTCGTAACAAAGACCAAGTTCTATTTGACCAATTGTATACTATGTGGTAGATGTTTATAACTGCTGCTTGTGTCCCAGTAGAAATATCTTTCAGCTTTCTTGCCTTCACTTTGTGCTCAGGGACATGTTTTACTAGAGAGCCATTAGCTGTATAGTTTTGACAGGTTTTGAAGTTTCTTACCTGACAGGCTTTTTTAATGCTCAAATATTTTGACATTTAAACCTCCAGCAAGCCCTAAGCATTGGTCTGGGCTCTATAAAATAGATTATACTGGCATTTTCCTGCTATTATAGGAATACCAAGGTACTTCTCTTACAGCTTTAAATTTGCAGGCCCAAACAATTCAAGTAACTGATCATGCTCAGCATATGTATACCAACAGTCTCATTTAGTTCCTCTCAAAGTTAACAGCAGACAAAAGGACGTATTTTTTAATGTAAGAAAACACACATATTTACTGAGTTAATGACACTGGAGCACAAAAATTAGCAAATAGTGTAAGACATTGCCAGTTAGTGACCGATGCAAGGAACATGTCTTCTAGCACCCATGTACTTTCTAGTATATGGCACTGTGTAAAATAGTTTGGAAATAATAAAATTAGCTGCTTGGTTAAATTATACGTATTTTTAAATGAGCAAAATAGGGATTTTTAAAGAGAAATCATGCTAAATTAAAAGATGACTAACTTTAGTCAAGTATTTTATGTCTCTCCTCTATTCCAGTCCTGGAAATGTTTAACGGAAAATAACATTTCCTTTTTTTTTTTGTTTACCCCTTCTTATCCATAAAAAATCAAGAGAAATCACTTTTTAATTTTTGTGCTCTGAGTATGTGATACTAAATGTTTTTATGCAACTGGTG